TTGTTGACGACTACACGCGTTACACCACGCTCTTCCCCTTGCGCAGCAAGGGTGAGGTCCTTGATGTCTTGATCCCTTAGATCCGCGCAGTCCGTCTCCAGCTCCGCGAGTGTTTCCGCCAAGACCTTCCTGTCCTAAGTCTGCACTCTGATAGAGGTGGTGGGTTCTCCTCCGACCTCTTGCGGGTCTTTTGTCGTGAGGAGGGCATCCTCCAGTCGTTCACGCTTTACGACCTCCCCGCATCAAAATGGGATTGCTGAGCGCCGCATCGGCTTAGTCATGGAGGTCGCTCGTACCTCCATGATCCATGCAGATGCTCCCCATTTTCTGTTGCCGTTTGCGGTCCAGTACACTGCGCATCAGCTCAACCTCTGGCCACGTGTCTCCTTGCCGGAGATTGCCTACACTGCGTTGGACGGGGAAGGTTGGCAATGCGTCGGTGTTCCGGGTCTGGGGTTCTCGTGCCTTTGTTCGCGATACGTCCGCGGACAAGCTCTCCGCCAGCACTATTCCCTGCGTCTTCCTTGGCTTTCCCCCTGACGCGCCTGGCTGGCAGTTTTACCACCCCACCTCGCGCCGTGTCTTCCCCTCTCAGGACGTCTAGTTTGGCTAGTCGCTTCCCTTTTACTGTCTCTTCCCCTACCTCTTTGCCCCTCTCCCACCCCCGCTGCTCTTCCTTGCTCCAGGTCCCCCTCCGGTAGACCCCCTCCCCCCCCAGGGTCCTTCTCCCTCAGGTGTATCTTAGGTAGACCCACTCCCTAGTACTGTGCCTGTTGAGGTCGCTCTAGACTTAGGTGCTGCTCGAGGTGCTGCGTCTGGAGGTGCTGCGTCTGAGGGTGCCGCGTCTGGGGGTGCTGAGCCTGTGAGTACGGAGCCTGAGGGTGCTGAGTCTTAGGGTGCCGGGTCTGGGGGTGCTGAGCCTGGGGATGTGGAGCCTGGGGGTGCTGAGCCTGCGGGTGCGGAGCTTGGGGGTGCTGAGCGTGAGGGTGCGGAGCTTGGGGGTGCTGAGTCTGAGGGTGCGGAGTCTGGGGGTGCTGAGCCAAGGGTTACTGCTTCTTCTCAAGGTCCTGCGGGTGCCTCGCCACGACTGTCTCCTCGGCCGGAGCCTCTCTCTCCGCAGCAGCTGCGCGAGTGGTTTGCTCGGCGCACACGCCTTCGTAGTGGAGCTGCCGGAGCTGGAGACTTTGCCGCTGGAGGCACTGGAGCTGGAGGTACTGGAGCTACTAGTCCTGGAGGTGATGGAGTTCTTGCTGGAGCTAGAGGTCCCGGAGGTGCTGGAGCTGTTGGTCCTTGAGGTACTGGAGCTGCTGGAGCTGGAGGTGCTACAGGAGTTGGAGCTGGAGACCCTGGAGCTGGAGCTACTGGAGGTACTAGAGCCGCTAGTCCCGGCGGTGCTCGTACTGGAGGTAATGGAGCTGCTAGAGCTGGTGGTGCTGCAGGAGTTGGAGCTGGAGACCCTAGAGTTGGAGACACCGGAGTTGGAGGCGCTGGCCCTGGGGGTGCTGGTGCTGTTGGTGCTGGTTCTGGAGACACTGGACGACCGCGTCCGTACTTCGTTCCTCAGCTTCAGCAGGTTCTTGGTCTCGCGTCTTCTACTGGCCTTACTCCTCCCTTACTCTGTCCACCGCCTGACCAGACGCAGCCGCCCTTACAGCCAGCCGCCCCACTGCCTGCTCCTTCTCCTTACACTGAGCAGACCGGAGGTCTTACAGAGCGTCGGGAGCCTATGTCTTGTCCTGCCTTGCCTGTTCACGCTGTTCGCACTGGTCGTTGTGTTCCTCGTCCGCGTCCTCCTCCTGTCCCTGGCACGCACCATATGGCACTTCGTTCCTCCTCTGTTCCATAGCGTGTCCCCCTGCCGTCTCTGTCAGAATGTTATGTTTGTCTAGCTTGCAGTGGGGTACTCAATAGTGAGTACAGCCCAATCTAGGGTTTGCTATATGTACTCAACTGCCTGCTAGTGAAACCCCTCTTCTCTGTTTCATTCATTCGTTCACATTCTAACATGCTATCAGAGCAGGTCGACCCTCCCGGGTCGATCCTGTGTGTGGGCCCACCTGCTTCCGCTGCTGTCCTATCTGTCGCGCGCCCCCTGGTGCGCGACGTTTTTTCTTCCCGCCTTGCGCTCCGAGTGCGTGGCGATTTTCTGCCTGCCGTGCGCCCCGAGGCGCGCGGCGGTTTTTTGCCCGCCGTGCGCCCCGAGGCGCGCGGCGGTTTTCTGCCCACCGTGCGCCCCGAGGCACGCAGCGGTTTGCTGTCTCACGCTGCAACCTGGGGGCCGCGCGTCGCCCCCCCCACCCCCCCCCCCCCCCCCCCCCCCCCGTCGCCCGTCGCGGCGCCCATGGGGGCCGCGCGTCGCCCCCCCCCCCCCCCCCCCCGTCGCCCGTCGCGGCGACCTGGGGGGCCGTGCGTCGCCCCCCCCCCCCCCCCCCCCCCCCCCGTCGCCCGCCGAGGCGACCTGGGGGCCGCGCGTCGCCCCCCCGTCGCCCGTCGTGGCGCCCTTGGGGGCCGCGCGCCGCCCCCTCCGTCGCCCATTGAGGCGACCTGGGGGGCCGCGCGTCGGCCCCTCCCGTCCTTCGTCGCGGCCCTGCCCTGCAGCTGCCCTGTTGCGGCCCTGCCCTGCCCTGCCGCTGAGTCCCGGTCATGTCCTACCCCAGCCCTGTCACGGCCCTGCCCCCCTAATCTCCCTACCCGCCAGCTACGGCCCTGCCCTATGTTAGGGTTTGGGGGTGGTGAGTATGGGGTGGCGGGTGTGTGTGGCCTCCCCTGCTTCTCCTCCTCCTCCGTCTCTCTCCCACTGCTGCAGCTGCCGCTGAGGGGGGTGGGTGTGTGGGAGCCGACGGAGTGGTGCTAGGGGGTGGAGTGTGAGTAGTGCTAGAGGTGCAGCAGGGGGTGTGTAAAAGGGGGGTGCGTCAGTGGGGGAGGTTGAAGGGAAGTAGTCGTCGTGTTGCCAGCAAAGCCAGTAGTCCGGAGGCAACAATCTCCGGTAGCCCAGCGAGCCTGCTGCGCCAGTCGCCCGTGGGTCCGTTGCTCCTTCCGCTCGTCTTAGCCGCGGAGCCACTTACTCCTGTAGTCCGGGGCCGTTGCTCTGGTAGCCAGTGTGCGCCGCTCCTGTTGCTCGTGTGTCTGCAGCATCAGCCGTTGCCTCCTATCTTCTCTCCTCTCATTGTCCCGCCTCCTCCTCCTCACTTGCCCTTTGTGAATGCCTCTAGCTTTGCTTATACTAGTGAACTGGCCTTGTGGCCTTGTACTTGTGCTCAGAATGTGTGGTGACGTCGTGATCCACCCTGAGCTTGCTATGCTTTGCTTGTTGTGCTGATTACACCCCACTTTGGCTATCGGGGTGTGTTAGAATGTTATGTTTGTCTAGCCTTTAGTAGGGGTACTCAATAGTGAGTACAGCCCAATCTAGGGTTTCCTATATGTACTCAACTACCTGCTAGTGAAACCCCTCTTCTCTGTTTCATTCATTCGTTCACATTCTAACAGTCTCATCCTACGTCCTCTCTTGCTGACGGTCCGGACCCTGAGTCTGACTTAGTTCATGCTGCCAGTCCTACTGTCACACGTCTTCTAGCCACTGTTGTCACTGACCCTTCGTTTGAGTCTGCTGCTGCGTCTGCCCTGGTTGCTGAGCTTGTTGACTTTGCTGCCGCCTGTCGTCTCGACTACGCCGCTAGTCTTGTTGCTGAGTCTGAGTCTGACTGTCCTCCGTACGTCAGGGGTGAGTGTGCTCTTGGCGCGGACGTCCTTGAGGACAGGCAGGAGGACTTCGAGTGTTTTACAAATGCTGTACCCCATCTCGTGTCCATGCTGATTGCACCTGAGGGAGACCCGGATGCACCAGACATCCCGACCCCGCGCTCTTACGCAGAGGCGATTACGGGTCCCTACTCCTCTCAGTGGCAGACACCCATGGACACAAAGATGGCATCCTGGAAGTCCACAAGCACTTACGTCGACGCAGTTCCCCCTCCTGGGGCGAACATAGTCGATGGCATGTGGATTTTCAGGGTGAAGCGACCGCCGGGTTCTCCGCCTGCCTTCAAGGCTCATTACGTTGCACGAGGCTTCAGTCAGCGACAGGGAGTTGACTTCTTCCAGGCCTTCTCCCCTACCCTGAACATGACTACTCTTCGAGTACTGATGCACGTTGCCGCTCAGCATGACTACAAGCTTCACTCTCTTGACTTCAGCAAAGCTTTTTTACAGGGCAGCCTGCACGACGAGATCTGGCTGCGCCGCCCACCTGGCTTCACTGGGTCGTTTCCAGCAGGTACCCAGTGGAGCCTCCGGCGGCCAGTCTACGGTCTCCGCCAGGCGCCTCGCGAGTGGCACGACACACTGAGGACGACGCTTGCGGCTCTTGGGCTTGCTCCTTCTACTGCTAACCCGTCGTTGTTTCTACGCACCGACACTTCGCTGCTGCCGTTCTACGTCCTCGTGTACGTCGACGACTTGGTCTTTGCCAATGCTGACACTGAGGCACTGGCCCTTGTGAAGTCGGAGCTGCAGAAGAGACACACCTGCACTGACCTGGGTGAACTGCGCAGCTATCTTGGCTTGCAGATCACCCGGGTCAGAGCACGGCGCACCATCACACTGACTCAGTCACACATGGTGCACCAGGTCCTTCAGCGCTTCGGCTTCCGATACTCCTCGCCACAGTCCACTCCGATACTAACCCTAATGAGGTTGTACCCCTTATGAGCTACTCCACTATAGCCTACACAAAGTAAGCTATATAATTTTTTGTTGAGAATGTCAAGGTAACGAACGTGAATGAATGCATTGAACAGAAGTTGGGTACAACGCCCCTAACCCCTAGGCTCGGCCCCTAGGCCCCGTCGCTCACAGCCCCGTTGGCCCCGTCGCCCGGCCCCGTCTCGCGCTCGCGCCCGGCCCGTACTTAGCCCGCGATCGTCCACGTACCTAGCCCGCGCCTGGCCCCGTACCTAGCCCGCGCCCCGCCCGTACCTAGCCCGCGCCCGGCCCCGTACCTAGCCCGCGCCCGGCCCGTACTTAGCCAGCGATCGGCCCGTACCTAGCCTCGCGCCCGGCCTCCGTTCCGCGCCCAACGCCCGGCCCCGTACCTGCCCAGCGCCCGGCCCCGTACCTGCCCAGCGCCCGACCCCGTACCTGCCCAGCGCCCGGCCCCGTACCTGCCCAGCGCCCGGCCCCGTACCTGCCCAGAGCCCGGCCCCGTACCTGCCCAGCGCCCGGCCCCGTACCTGCCCAGCGCCCGGCCCCGTACCTGCCCAGAGCCTGGCCCCGTACCTGCCCTGCGTCCGGCCCCGTACCTGCCCAGCGCCCGGCCCCGTACCTGCCCAGCGCCCGACCCCGTACCTGCCCAGCGCCCGGCCCCGTACCTGCCCAGCGCCCGGCCCCGTACCTGCCCAGAGCCCGGCCCCGTACCTGCCCTGCGCCCGCCCCCGTACCTGCCCAGCGCCCGGCCCCGTACCTGCCCAGCGTCCGGCCCCGTACCTGCCCAGCGCCCGGCCCTGTACCTGCCCAGCGCCCGGTCCCGTACCTGCCCAGCGCCCGGCCCCGTACCTGCCCAGCGCCCGGCCCCGTACCTGCCCAGCGCCCGGCCCCGTACCTGCCCAGCGCCCGGCCCCGTACCTGCCCAGCGCCCGGCCTCGTCCCTCGCCCAGCGCCCGGCCCCGTACCTGCCCAGCGCCCGGCCCCGTTCCTAGCCCAGCGCCCGGCCCCGTACCTGCCCAGCGCTCGGCCCAGTACCTGCCCAGCGTCCGGCCCTGTTCCTAGCCCAGCGCACGGCCCCGTACCTAGCCCGCGCCCGGCCCCGTACCTAGCCCCGCGCCCGGCCCCAGTTCAGCGCCCAGCGCCCGGCCCCGTACCTGCCCAGTGCCCGGCCCCGTACCTGCCCAGCACCCGGCCCCACTCCTGCCCAGCGCCCGGCCCTGTTTCTCGCCCAGCGCCCGGCCCCGTACCTAGCCCGCGCCCAGCCATGTCCCTAGCCCAGCGCCCGGCGCCGTCCCTCGCCCAGCGCCCGGCCCCGTACCTAGCCCGCGCCCGGCCCGTACCTAGCCCAGCGCCCGTCCCCGTACATAGCCCGCGCCCGGCCCGTACCTAGCCTAGCGCCCGGCCCCGTACCTAGCCCACGCCCGGCCCCGTACCTGCCCAGCGCCCGGCCCCGTCCCTCGCCCAGCGCTCGGCCCCGTCCCTCGCCCAGCGCCCATCCCCGTACCTAGCCCGCGCCCGGCCCGTACCTAGCCCAGCGCCCGGCCCCGTACCTAGCCCGCGCCCGGCCCCGTACCTGCCCAGCGCCTGGCCCCGTCCCTAGCCCAGCGCCCGGCCCCGTACCTGCCCAGCGCCTGGCCCCGTCCCTAGCCATGGCCCCGTCGCCCCTAGCCATGGCCCCTCGCGACCTGCCGCCCCTAACCGCGGCCCCGGTGCCCTGTTGCAACATGGTGGGTGAGGGGGTGGCAAGAGGGGGTTCTTCTTGCCCGCGTGCCCTACAGTCGCACGTGCAGCTCCGCCCCTACCCCCCTCCCCCCCCTCCCCCCCCTCCATGGGGACGGCGGGGAGAGGGTGTGAGGGGGTGGCGGATGTGCCTCAGCAGCACCAGCTGCCGCCACGCCTCCTCCTCTCTCTCTCCCTGCCGCACCTTGTGTTGGGAGAGGGGGGGGGAGCTTGGGGGTTCAGGGGGAGGCAGGAGGGGATCTGCAGCACCAGCCCCCTCCCCACCTTTCTCCTACCTCCCCCTGCTGCGGGTGCAGCAGTGGGGGGAAGGGATCTGCCATCCCCCTGCTGCGGATGCGGCAGTGGGGGAAGGGGACCTGCAGCACCAGCCCCCCCCGCCCCCCCTTCTCCTCCATCTCTCTGCTGCAGGTGCAGCAGTGGGGGGGAGGGTATGGGGGTGGCGGGTGTGGCGCGTCCTGCTGTCGCCCGAGCGGCTCCTGCACCGCCCCCCCCTGCCCCCCCCCCCCCCTTTCTCCTCCATCCCTCTGCTGCGGGTGCGGCAGTGGGGGGGAGGGGATCTGCAGCACCAGCCCCCCCCCCCCCCCCCCCCCCCCCCCCCCTTCTCCTCCATCCCCTGCTGCAGGTGCAGCAGTGGGGGAGGGTATGGTGGTGGTGGGTGTGTGAATCGTCCCCTGCTCCTCCTCCTCCTCCGTCTCCCACTGCTGCAGCTGCCGCTGACGGGGGTGGGTGTGTGGGAGCCGAGGGAGTGGTGCTAGGGGGGTGACGTGGGAGTGGAGCTAGGGGTGCAGCAAGGGGTGTGTGAAAGGGGGGTGGGACAGTTGGGGGAGGTTGAGCGGAGGCTGCCGTCTTGTCGTCCGCAGCACCTGTAGTCCGGGGCTCTGCTGCTAGTAGCTCAGAGAGCCTGCTGTACCTGTCGCCCGTGGGTCCGTTGCTCCTACCGCTCAGAGTTAGCCGCAGAGCCAGTTACTCCTGTAGTCCGGGGCTCTTGCTCCGGTAGCCACCGTGTGCGCCGCTCCTGTTGCCCGTGTGTCTGCAGCATCAGCCCTCGCCTCCTATCTACTCTCCTCTTACAGTCCAGCCTCCTCCTCACTTGCCCTTTGTGAATGCCTCTAGCTTTGCTTGTACTTGTGAACCTGCTCTATGACTGCTTGCTCTGCTGATTATACCCCACTTTGACTATGGGGGTGTGTCAAAATGTATTTGCTGTCTAGCCTGCAGTGGGGTACTCTGTAGTGAGTACAACCCAATTTAGGGTTTGCTATTTGTATCCCAACTCTTGCTAGTGAAATCATTCCATTCCACTTCATTCTCCTTCTCGACTTTCCTCACACTAAACTCTCTCGACATTCAATGCTAGTACCTAGAACCCAAGCTATGGTTCCTAAGTCAAGCTACTATTCTAACAGTTAGTACTTGTACCCAACTCTTTGCTAGTTCATTCATTCTCGTTCGTTCTTTCTGACATGGTTTCTGAGCAGGTCCCTTCCTAGGACCGCTTTTTTTGGGCCCACCACCTGCTGCCCTTCTAGCCACTCTCGACCCTAGGCCCCGGCCCGTAGCCTCGCGCCCGTCGCCCCTAGGCCCCGGCCCGTCGCCACCCCTAGCCCGGCCCGACGCCCCTAGGCCCGTCGCCCCTTGGTGTCGCCCCTAGCGTAGGCCCGTCGCCCCTTGGCGTCGCCCGTCGCCCGTCGCGACCCCCGTCGCCCCTAGCCTCGGCCCCACGGCCCCTCGCGACCCGTCGCCCCTAGCCTAGGCCCAAGGCCCTGCGGCCCGTCGCCCCGTCGCCCCTAGCCTAGGCCCCGCGGCCCCACGGCCCCTCGCGACCCGTCGCCCCTAGCCTAGGCCCAAGGCCCCGCGACCAGTCGCCCCGTCGTCCCTAGCCTAGGCCCCTCGGCCCCACGGCCCCTCGCGACCCATCGCCCCTAGCCTAGGCCCCGCGCCCCCCCGTCGCCCACGACCCGTCGCCCCGCGGCCCCTCTTGTCACCCTAGGCCTCCGACCCCTCGGCCCCCGGCCCCTTTGCACCTGGCCCCACAGCCCCGTCGCCCTAGACCCACGGCCCCTCGACCCCTTCTAACTTGGCCCCGCGGCACGAAGCCCCTAGGCCCCCGGCCCCTCGGCCCCCACTCGCCTGGCCCCGACGCCCTAGGCCCACGGCCCCTCGGCCCCCCCTCTACCTTGGCCCCGCGGCCCGACGCTCCTAGGTCCCCGGCCCCTCGGCCTCTTCTCTTCTGGCCCCGCGGCCCATTGCCCCTAGGCCCCCGGCCCCTCGGCTTCTTACTTGGCCCCGCGGCCCGACGCCCCTAGGCCCCTGGCCCCTCGGACCCCCTTTCTCCTGGCCCCGCGGCCCAACGCCCCTAGGCCTCCGGCCCCTCGGCCACTTCTCTCCTAGCCCCGCGGCCCGACACCCCTAGGCCCCCGGCCCCTCGGCCCCTTCTCTCTTGGCCCCGCGGCCCGACGCCCCTAGGCCTCCGGCACCTCGGCCCCTCTACTGCTACTGCTACTACTGCTGCTGCTACTGCTGTTGCTACTGCTGTTGCTACTGCTGCGCCACTATGGCTTCGCTTCGAGTTCTCGCGTTCGATCATGAGGGCAGACCGGTTTAGTTTGACACGTGGCTCGATGACCTGCAGCTGTACCTACTGAGCGATTCTAAGGACAGTGTGTCGTTGTTTGACCTCGCGTCAGGTACCGCTACTGCCCCTCCCGCCACAGCTGACAGTGCGACTCGCTCACAGTGGCTTACTCGCGACGCTGCTGCCCGCTTAGCCATTCGCAACCACCTGCCGTTAGCCGAATGCGCTCACTTTGGACAGCACAGGACAGCACAGGCCCTGTACGACGCTGAAGTCACTCGCTACTCATCGCCTGCCACTGCTGCGCTAGGCCGACTGCTACTGCCCTACCTGTTCCCCGAACTATCAGCTTTTGCCACAGTAGAGGACCTTGTTTCCCACCTGCGCACTAGCGACGCTCGCTACCGCGCTACCGTCCCTGCTGAGTTCCTTGACAGGAACCAGCCCCCGATGTTCACCACCCTCTACTTCATAGTCACTTGCCTCCCTGACTCTCTTCGCTCTGTCAGGGACCACTTTCTCTCCCTTGACCCCACCTCCCTCACTGTTGACCTCCTCGAGCAACATCTCTTCGCAGCTGAGACTAGTGCAGTTGCTGTAGGTGCTGCTCGTGGCACTCCGCGCTCGCCCTTCTTTGAGGGGTGCTCCCCCTCTCCCCTTGCCCCCTCCTACGCCTCTGCTGCTGCTGCAGACGTCTTTGTTACTGAGGACGTCAGGGCTGCTTCTGCTAGTGCGAAGCGCCGCAGCCGCAAGGGCAAGGGTGGCAGGGGTGGTGGAGGTGGCAGCGGTGGTGGTGGAGGTGGCAGCGGGAGTGGTGGTGGGGACAGCAGTGGAGGTGGTGGAGGCGGTGGAGGTGGTGGCGGCGGTGAGTCTGGTGGCGGGATTGGGGGCTCTGGTGGCGGCAGTGGAGGCAGTGGTGGGAGTGGCGGCAGTGGAGGTGGTGGGTCTGGTGGCGGTAGGACTGGACCTCGGCGTGGAGGCCCTGGTGGTGGCCAGCGGCAGAAGCAGCAGCGTCGGAGCGAGACCCAGTCGCCCCAGCAGCTTCGTGAGTGGTTGTTTCAGCGTGGGACGTCTGGGGGTAGTGATAGCTGCCCGTATGTCATTCGCACGGGTGTTCGTGCTGGTCAGACATGCGGGAAGCTTCACACTCAGCACCGCTGCTTCTCCCGCCTCGACGATGCGTGGCATGCTGAGTTTGATGATGACGTCGAGCGCCCTCGCTAGGAAGATCTGCTTAAGTCTGGAGTTGCTATCTTTGACCTAGACTATGATGCTATTCTCTCTACTATGTATGCTTTGTCTACTAGTGCTGAGGGTGACTGTTACCGGTGTGTGCCACCTGACCCAGGGATAACGGCTGTTGCTCTAGGTGCTAGTGATTCTGGTACTCTCCCTAGTACTGCGCCTGCTGAGGCCTTGCACACCTTCACGTTGGACTCAGGCGCCTCGCCCTGTTTCTTTCGTGACAGCACCACTCTCACTCCTCTCCCTGCACCAGTCCCGGTCAGACTGGCTTGTTCCTCCACTGTCCTCCCGTGTCCGGCGGTTCCGTCCGGCTCACTGTCAGGTCTTCACCTCCCCTCGTTCTCTACGAACTTGGTGAGTACCGCTGCCCTCCAGGATGCGATGGTCACTACCACCACTCCTGGGGGTCAGCGTGTGTCGATCTGCACGTGCACACGACGGGGCGTCACCTGGCCACGTTCACTCGTCGGCCAGGGTCGAGTTTGTACACACTTGCTACCGAGCCTCCTCAGGTAGCTGCGTCTGCTCAGGTGTCCACGTCAGGTCAGGTAGCCGCCTCTTGCTCGTGTCGCCTCCTGTCGCACCAGACTCTTCTGTGGCACCACCGCCTGGGTCACCCCTCCCTGCCAGCCTTCGTGGCATGCACTCTCGTCTTCTTGTCTCTGGTCTACCCAGGTCTCTGCCTCCCCTCCCGCCCTCGCCTGCC